ACTCATGTAGTTGCCCATAACAAATTATTAATAAAGATAAAGGCAAAACCTCATCTTAATACCAAAAAAAAAAAAAAAAGATAAATAAAACAAAAGAAGTATATTATATATTAAGAAAACTAAATACAAAAAAGATTACAATATTTAAATATATAATAAATTATTTTTTATTTTTATTTTTTCTTTAGGTAAAGTTTTGCTTATATCTTTATTAAGTAATTTATAAAATAGTAACATATATGCAGTATATATATTTTTATTAGTTATACTAGTACAAATAAAAAAGAAAATTATATACAAGAATAAAAGCTTAAACAATTAAATAAATTTAATTTATCTGTAATCTATACCTACTAGAGTAGTCAAAAACTTGCCTAGATAATATTATTTATAGTTAAAATAAAATTAAAAGTTGTGTAATACTTGACTCACAGAGTGGCCCAAGTACTAATTTTTCTAAAGACCTGTCCAACAAGTGGACAGGTTTCAGTATATAAATGGAGTTAATTAGGTTGATCACAAAAACAAGAATATGTAAAATTATAATAAGTATATATATTATTTTTACTGTAGAAAGATGAAGTTTGTTAATTAGTATATGTATATATTATTTGTTATTGTTTTTTCAATTTAAAAAATTAATACAGTAGGGTTCTATAATTGTTTATAAATTTGTTTGTTAATTTCAAGCAAAATATTAATTATAATTGTTGATACTAGTTTGTATAGAACTTTTAGATCCTGAATAGTTTTAATTAAAGATAAGAGAATAAGACCTTTAAGAGTAATTTCTAAATAGTATAAAGATGAATGAAAAGGTGTTTCTTTGAAAGGTGAATGGTCTTTAATTTTTTGAATAAGTTTTTTAGTTTTATTATTAGAGAAATCTAAATTAGCTAAGTTTATGCAGTTAGTTATTGCATTAGAAATGATGTTATTAAGCAAAGAGAAGTTGACACAAGTGTACTAATATAATAATAACATAATTAAATTACAGTAAAAGCAATTAGCATCATGAAGATTAAGAGATAGATTTTATAATAGAGGTATTGAGTAGGTAGTTCATTAAGAAGTATTTTAATTTAAATAATTTGGATTAGTTAAGTTTAAAAATTAATAAAGTTGTAAGTAGATTTTTGATTATAGTTGAAGTATAGTCAAGTTAAATTCTAATCAATATGGTAGGCTAATGGAGTCTATTTATTATTTCATTTTTGTGATAACCATAGTGCAAGTTTGTAAGCTTTACAGATACTTTTAACAAAGTATCTGATAAAAAGTTTGACAAAAAGTTTTTCTGTTTCAAAAAATAATAAATAATATAGGTTGTGAATATTTGTATAGTTAAAATGTAATAGAGATTTATTTGTATATTACTTAGCAAATAAGTTTGCTAGATTGTTAAAAGTATTGTCTGAGTGGGCTTAAACTTTATAGAAAATAATATTTAATTTATATAATTTAATAATATTTAGTAAGGTATGCCATAATGATCAGAAATTAAATTTAAAGAGTTTATTAGAATTTAGAGATAATTGATTAAGTTGGATAAATTTTAATATTATAAATTAGGAATCTGCATAGATATTAATTATAGAATTTTGAGAGATAGTTGAAATAGCAAACAGAATAGAGAAAAGTTCAGCCTTATAAGAGAATGACCAGAGATGAACTTTGGCAATAAATTTATAAATAACTTGGTCATTAAAATCTAATTAAATTTAGCTAATATCTATAGTATAGTTATTTATACTTATACTAATTACTAAACCATCAGTATATAAATTAAATAAGTTATATAGTAGATTATTAGAAGATATTTAATTAAGTTGGTTAGTTGCTTCACTTGTTTCAAAAATTGCAGATAAGATGAAGTTAGAGATGAAAATAGAAAGCAATAGTAGTAGTAAAAGATTTGGCAAAGACTATTTAATTGCAGCAAAGCTGAACAAAAAACAAGATTAATCTGTTAAAGTGGATAGTAATCAGTACTGTTTATATTAATATTTGTTTGCTAGTATATAATTAATATTTGGTTAGAATCTGTAAAATGTTTATAGATTTTGCCTATAATAATTTTCTTATTATTAAAAGTAATCAACTATGATTTATGTTTTTTAAAAATATTGTATATATTATATACAAAGGGATTAGTTCTTTGCTATTAATATTGAAGTTTGAGAGAATGATGATGATGATTTTTTATAATAAAATTTTTAAGTTCAATAAACCAGATTGGTTTTTTGCCTTTAGGCAAATGAAAAATTCTTGATAATAAATGTAGTTATTCAAGAAGTGTAGTATTGTTTAAGATGCAAAGTTGTTAAAGATTAAGTAGGTTTAGTCATATAAGTTGTTTTTTAAAGGTTATATATTTGGTGTAATGTTGAAGAATAAGTTCAAGAGGTTGAAGCTGATAATGAATAGTGTTTGGCTATGATGTATTACTATTAGCTTTAATAAAGACAATAATTTGTAGAAATAGTTAGATAATTTTAAAATTAAGAGTATATTTATCTTAGCTATTAATATTAAATTGAGGATGTTTAAGAATGTTTATAGTAGACCAAAAGTTGTTTTGAAACTGTTGTAATCTAATATGTGTAAAAACATCTAATAAATAAAGATTATTAATTTATTGAAGAAAAATAGTAATATGATGTTGTAATTGTATATTCCAAATATTATGTATATTGTATAAATAAGAATAAAGCATTGTACTATTAGAAATAGATCAGGCAAGATAGATTTATATTTAGCAACATAAGATATTTAGCCAATATGCAATTATATATAGTTTTAAAAAATATAAAATTATTTATCTGACAAACTTATATGATTATACTGCAGCAACAGACTGTTATTTTTTAATATGTTATGATATAATGCTAAATATTGAAATTCTGCCAAATAATAGTCATATTAACAAAACTATTATTAGAATCAAAAATACTAAAAATTGTTATGCAAATGCAAATAAATTGAAACTTTATTATTTAAATTAAATCAATTATATTTTTTTTTTTTAGTTTAATTAATCAAAAATTAAAAATGTATTTTTACTTAAAAATTTTTCAATAAATTTTTTATGATCATTCTTTTCATGAATGTTTAAATCAAATTTGGCCAACACATTGCACTAAAGTAATTTATTTAAAGCATTGTTCTTGAAAAATATATCAAGATCTTCAAAAGCATTTACCAACAATATTTGTAAATTTTCTTGTTAAAATAAACTTGCACAAACAAAATCACTAACTACCAGACCTACTTTTTGATTATGGCTTTTGGTAGTGTTATGTTTTTTGAAACAACATTCTTAAGAATGACATTCTCAGGAGTGATATTTTTAGAAACAACATTCTTGGAGGTGACATTCTTAGGAGCAATACTGTTTTGTAAGAACTATCTAAAAAACAAAAATCTTTAATCATTAATATTAATTGTTAATTGTTAATCAAATGTTTTAAACTATAATAAAAAAATTTTACCTTTATTTGAAACTTGAGTTAATGTTTTAAAAAATGCATTAAGTTCTTCATGTTGTATTATAAATTTCAGTTATTTATCCCTTAATCTGTAAGCTTTTCCAGGCAAATTTGCCTAGAAAATTGTTAAAAATATACTTATGATCTATATTTTTTAAATTTTAAAATATTTAAATAAAATTTTATTTGATA